CTACTAAGCAGAAATGAGAATCAAATTTGTTACTGGCCACCTTTGTTCTTCTGATGCATGGATAACTGATTGACAGAGCCATACTGACCTGCTTTACTTCACCTACTCATTCTTGAAATCCCGCATTCCTCCAATGACTATTTTTAGAGCCTCCTATGTGTTAAGCACTGTTCTCGGCCTGGGCTGCTGCAAGGAACAAGAAAAAAACCTAGTCCCCTGGAGGTTACTTTCTGCAGGGAAAGGCATTCGCCTGTCCAAGGCTGCTCAGACAACTGGCCCTCATCCACCTGAATATAAAAAAACACCCAATGTCCCCCTTTACATAAGCAGTCACTGACTGATGCCTAAAATGTCTGTGGTCTAAATCTGCCCACTGCTCCACAGGGCGAAGCTATAGTCCCCCTTCCATACAGATCAGCTTTTTGGCAACGCTATTGGGCAGTTCTACTGTTTTATAAGGGTGCTGGGTCAGAACGGCCTCAATGGCAACATGTTTGGTTTGGATTTGATTAGTGACCGATCATCTACAGGAAAGTGTAATCATATTCGTAATACCGCCAAGTAAACTGGCACTACAAACTCTGGATTTTCCAGAATTCCCAGTTAGGGGTTTTGTAGAACAAATTAATTCCTCACAAAAATTGGTAGTCTCTTACCTGCACTGCTCCCTAACTTTTCCTTACCCCACTTTCTTTCCTCTTACACTCACCAAACTTTACCGGTTACATGTTTTAAATGCAACCTCTCATCCTCTCTAATCACATGGTTAGTTATTTTAATCCACCAGCCACTCCAAGGGAAAAAGGTGAGGGCTTTCTGTTCCAATAAATTTTTACAGCCCTGAAAACTCAGAAAGCGGAGTCCTGTTCTGCCTTTGGGTCACTGTTAGTCAAATGGTAGAGGGTTCCAGTTTTCATTTCTTCTGATGGACCACAGCATCTAACATGTACCGCTAACCCCATCAACCAGAAATGTGATAGAAACAAAGCTCACACCAATACACAATTATACAAATCCTGATCAGGAGTAAGTCTTGACCTCTTCTGAAAAATCACAGCTTGAATGATACACCATGTTGCAGGAACTGAGTCTATACCTACAATATGCTGGGAACAAGGGCTTCAAAAAGTTAATTAGCAGATCACTACTGGTGGCTGAAGAGCCCTCATAGGGTAGTGGTTATGAGCTGCGCTGAGATTCACAGGGTCATCAGTTTGAAACCAACAGCAGCTCCATGGGAGAAAGATGGAGCTTTCTACTCCTCCTATCAGTTACCATCTTGGAAACTCACAGGAGCAGTTCTACCCTGTCCTCCAGGCTTGCCATGAGTCAGCATTGTGTTATGAACTAGGGATACACAGGGTGTGGTCCCCACGGTGTCACAACATGAGCCAGGTAGCTCTCCGAAACATAGTCAGCAAGGAAGACAATACATGGTGCATCCATCAGTCATGCTTAGATTAGTGCCTCTTCCTCACCCCTTCCACCCCAGCTTGATTCTAGCAGACGGCACGGAACCAAGCCCAACGTGGCTTTGAGAAGAGGAGTCTGAACAGTACCATCTTGACTGGAGTAACAGTCCTTAGTCTCTAAGAGTCTCCAATCAGTTTAATATTCAAAGGCAAACGAATCATTGCTGCCACCTATCTCGTGTTCAGATTCACAACAATGTATCAGGAACCTAATGGACACAGTTTGGTATAGCAACCTCAGAGTGGCAGTTCTCAAACTTGGTTGCATTTTGGAAAGACCTGAAATATTTTACTATTTTCATGACACAATAAGCGGCTAATTTTGAGAACCACTGATGCAGAAAAGCCAGGAGGGAAATATCTTCCAACTAATCTATGGATCAAAGGTGTGCTGGTATATGAGCAGTAAGCTTCCTAAATATTTCTTCACTAAGAACTGCTATGAAATCACTGGGTATTTGAAGAAAGGAGTTTCTGGGCGGCTTGCCAAACTCGGGGGAGAAAACACAAGCCTGAATATGTTGGGAAAATATACATATATTTCAAGGAGTAAGTGAAATAAAAATAACCAAGCCGTAAAATTTTATCTGCAAAATGGTTAGAAATCGATGTTAGGAGTTAAGTTCCCATTCCTAAATACCTGAAAAGTCAGAGGCGGGGGGTGGGTGAAAAGAACAACCCTCAGGCTGGCTTGTAAAGGGTTTTTTGTTTGTTTGTTTAATACATCTGAAAAGAATGCATATACAAAGAATTGAGACATGAGAAAGCAATGGTTCAACACTAATGATTCTACACGAATTAGGATTTGGGGAAGGTAGAAAAGATAACCTAAACATTTTAAGAAACTGGAAACTGCACCAAAATAAGCTGGTAAAATCCCTATTAACACTTATGTAGAGTCTTCTTAAGACTCGTTCCATGATATTTATTAAACTAGAGAGCCTCAACTGGCTGCTCTAGGGTTCCTCACATGTAAAAACTGAAATAAGGGGATTCCCCTGACTGGTCCCCATGTTGTTAAATGTTCTCCCCACCCCCACCCCACCCCCAGCTTCTTAATGAAGCAGGCCTCCATCCCCATCACTTGAAAGAGGATGTGAATCATTCCATAGACATCTGTCTGCTAGCACCACCTCTCATACGTCCTCTGTACACCAGGTCTTCGGTTGTGTTCTAGAACACAATATCATATCCTACTAAGCTGCACATCTAAGCTAAGCATATCAGACAATGACTGACAAGGAAAACGGTTTTTTAAATTATGAACTCAATTCATTTGGTGTATTTTTAAAGGTACAATACTTTTCTTGTTCATCAGTAAAAGAAGTTAGAAATTAACTTCCAAAAACTCAGCAAAAGGCAAACAAATTTCCTTGAAAGTCACAGTCAAGTATATAGTGCATCCTAGAAAAGAGGAGGGGCAAGACAGGCTCCACCCACTGCCATGAGTTTCATCAAATACTGGACCTACTCTAGGGTGGAGAGAAAGGCAACTTTCAAAAAGGAGCATGTTATTGAATGAGGCATTTATCCTACTCCTTCCTAAGAGCACCAGGTGGGGAACATGGTTTCTAAACTTGATCTATAAGTGGAATGTGACTGCAATCCCGTCTTCCTCCCCTCAGGGGCTGTCCACTGGTTACTGAATTAAAAAATAAAACTAAGTAAAATGAGCTCCCCACACACTCCCCCCACCCACCCACCCTCATAAAAGGAAAAACAACACAAAACACTAAGATGTCCCAGATTACTCGTTACTCTCCAGAGTAGAATCAGGGAGCAGCTTCAAAATTTTGAATTAGTTTGTTACAGTCATCAACAAGCATGCCTTGCTTTAAAAAAAATCTCCTTGAAACAACGAAACAAAAACTAGTACTTATCACTTTTCTGACACTATACAATTACTCAAAATTAACTAGTACAGGGAGAGGGCAGGGGGCCACACCTACATACATACGGACCTTGTCTCACACAAATGCATGTGGGTAGGTACAGAACATTTGTCATTATTGCAAAAACGAAATTTAATTTTTAATCTTTAGTTTGATTTAAACATTGCTTTTAGTATGACGCCGACACCAGCTGTGCAGAAAGGCTCAGAGAGACGCACACCAGCACACACCTGCGGCTCTTCTTCGGTTCTGGGGGCTCCAGGGCAGCCAATATTGCTTCGTCAAACACATTCTTTAGGCCTTTCTGAAAAGGGGCAGAAAGAAAAAATGGGCAGTCTGATTTTCAGTGAAGTCCAAGTTCAAATAAAAGCATACACATCTCCATGAGATGGAAAAGGAGGAAACATTACAAACATCTCTGAATTTCAACACAGTAATCTCACTTCACCAACTTTGGTCCAGTCAGGGCCCTGGAAGGATCCAACAATTCAGGAACAAAGGGGCAGATATTCATGAGTGAGACAGTGGTCCTTTAAGAAAGCTTTCTGCAGACCAATGTATGTCACAAGAAGCAACCAAGCACATGTGTCATTTGCTCATTCGATGTAAGTTTTGTAATGTGCTGCTGAAACATTTTACATAAAAACAAGTGAAGCAGCTCTGCATTCAAATGAAACAGCTGGATATGGAACAGGACCCAGGGGACTAGCACAAGAAAGTAGCAACTTTATTATATGGAAGGCGCAGGCAAAGATGGAAAGAGCAATCATGGTGGCTGTATCAAAGATAATCACTTTGAACTCTCTTTATCTCATCCATCAGGCACAAGCCAGGAGGACTTAAGGAAGCAAAAATGTGGGTACCTCGTACAAACATAAAACTAGAGCCAGTCAGAACAAGAAGAAGGGCTGCATCAGGCATTTATACAAATAATTGTTTTTGCTTTTTAATTTCAAATTTTAAGGTAACCACAATTGTAAGTTTCCCTCACAACAATAAAATCAGAAGCAGGAAAATGTAATGATAATAGCTTTACATCTCAACATTAACAAATCTTGAGTCAACCGTTAAAATGGATGCCAGGCTTAAAAGATAATGTAACAAATGATCTCTTAAAGCAGTAGCATATACATCAATGTCTCCCCAACCCGACTGACAAATACTCTTACTACAGCACAGACAGCCAAAGCAATAGCAACACAAAGTTTCACTGCATGAAGGAAAACCGAAGCGAATCTTCCCTTCCCCATTACAACTCTACTAGCAGGTCACCTTTTTTCCATGAAGGTTTCTCATGCAATTATAATTAACAATCGATCATAAGAGTAAAATGGTGCTTGTGTCATTTTCTCCATCAAGAACTAAGATCTAGAAGGGCTTAAAACTCTTCTTATTTTCTCCTAGAGGACATTCTTAATGCCAGACCATGGTCCCTTTTTCAATAATAATCCAAACCAAAAAGCTCTGAGCATCAGGCAACTCAAGCAGCAGAAAGTAAAACAAGTCCAAATTTGACTACTGAACACAAAAAATATTCTCTAAGTTATAGCATATAGCATTCTTGACCCCACCCCCACCCCCAAAAAAATCTAATACAGAGGTTGCTCTAAGGTGGTGAGTAAAAAGACGCAGAGGCTTTCAAACAGGATGATTTTATTCCTTTGTTTTGAAACGATCTTTCTACAGTAGTGGGACAGGAAGCAGCAGCAAAGAGGGGAAGGAGAAAACACTTTAGAATATACAGCACTTCCTTTTGGGTTGAGTTTCCGGAGGCTCGAGGGCAGCTAGGATAGCCTCATCAAACACATTCTTCAGACCTCTCTATAAGACAGAGGGGAGGAGAGAGAATAGCAGCCAGGTTAGAGGATTAGAAAGACTAGCAGATACAAATAGCAGTCCAGATCAAATGGGCTGAATTCACATAAGCAATGAGAGTCAAGAAATGTCCATTCCAGGAAGCTAGAGTTTAAGCCAATTATTGGGAAAGTGAAAACTGAACAGAAAACTTCCTGTATCAAAAAAGGTCAACTGAGCAAGATGCCACTATTAAGATAATGTAGTATGTTGACCTTTAAAATAACAGCAGCACAGTGACATTGGATATTATAGCATTTTAAGAAAATAATGCCAACATAAAATATTTGGGTAAGTGGTGCATCTGGGTAATTAAGTCTTATGGATTCCCCAGTGTTCTATTAATAATACACATCTTAGAAATGAATCTATTATCATTTCAAGCTTATGTGAATTCAGCCTAGAATAACTGAAGGACACAAATAGCAGACTAACAGGCATGCATAGGTTTCTGGGTTCAATGCCCTATCTGGGTGGGACTGAATCAGGATTTTCAAAATAAATTGGGTTCTCAGAACAAAAAAGGTTCAGGCATTTAGAAAAAGTGTTAATTATTCAACCGCATCAACGGGGAGTATGTTGGGGGGAGGGGGGAGTGGAGTTTAAAGAACAGACTCTAGAACAGCATACACTTCAGTTATTCAGTAATGTTATTAGAGCAAATAACTACCACCCAAGTCATAGAAAAACAAAGAATGGGTCCTAGAATGAGTTTTAGCAAGCAATCCAGTGCTTTCTGATGTCTGCATGAATATCAGAGCATAAAGCATGGAGTGAAAACAAAGACTAGCCTCAGAGCTACAGGGGTTAAGATACAGAAATACACTTACACCACAAGCAGAACCTCCAACGTGACAGTGGGACTCAGTAGAAGTGGTACTTTAGGCCCAGGTCTACAGACTCACCTAAACTCACCTAGATCTGAAGCCACAGGTTTACTACCCAAAGAAATTTCAAGTGTTCCTTAGACCAATTTCATGCCAAGCAAAAATAATTCCCAGAAAGGCCAGGATACAGTTCTAGTAACAAATGCCAGTCCCAAAACGTCTAGGTCCAATCCCATGCCCTCACCCGACTCCCACCACTACATCTCAGAGAACTGGTACCTACTTATTTATTCCACTGGACACAAAATAAATAGTAATACACTCAACTACTTATCAACTAGTTCATTATCTGACATTTATGTGTTTTTATACACATTTTATATCTGACAAACACATTTATGTCAAGTTGAAAAAATCTACTATCCAACTATTTTGTGCATTTGCATTGTGCATTTGGCAGAGGTGCAGAGTAGGAATAAAGCAGGCTCTGATGGTCAAAAGTTATGTGTCTACTTGGCTGTGCCTTCATTCTCAGTGGTTTGGCAGTTATATAATAATGTAGCCTTTCTCCATTTTGTGATATTATATGCTCATCTTCCATTTGCATTTTGTGTTCTGGTGTTATCTTCCATTTCCACGCAGTGCCAATTTTCTCCTAGTGACTTGATCTTTGGAACCCAACCATATCAGTAAGTGAGGAGTGGGTATGAATACTCTTTGTTTAAAAGCAGGTCAAAACATTTTCTTCTTCCTATTATCATTTATAAAGTATAAAAAGTAAATAAAAGTCAAAAGTTCCTCTGAAATTCTCTGTACACATTTAGGAAGAAACTCCGGTGGTCAACTATCAAAAGGAAGGCTAGAACAGAGGAAAATATGCTTCATAAAAGGGGTGAAATCAATGGAACCTATGGCTATCATATAACAAGCAGCAAATTATTTTATGCTTATTGTGGACAAAGAAAAATAAATAACCTATCAAAAACAAATCCCTGCTTCACTATTGGAGAGTGTTTACCTTTTGATAGAGAGTTCTATAAACAAACAGAATCTGGATCCTGAAAATTCTACCTCAAACACAATCATAGAGCCCGTGTTCTACCTTCTCTTCTTTTGCCTTCTCAAAACTTAAAACTCTCATAAGAAAAATGTACCTGCTGAAGAACCCTCTGACCATTCTATTCTCAGCAAAGTGATTTACTACATAAATCCATTCACATTGTAAAAATCTTACATGGAAGCATCTAAAATAAATTTCAACAGTGACTTAAGGGTCCACCTGGCCTACCTGCCTCCATTTCCCCCAGGCATTCTCTACCTAGAGAATGGTACGCAATAGTCGGTCAAATGTGACACACCGCTCCAGTCATCTACTCCTCCCCTAATACAAACCATCCCTTTTCTGAAGGTAACATGAAAACACCAAGGAGAAGCACTAGAAAATTTTTTGAAGCTCAAATCAGTGCTTATGTGCAAAGAGGTAAATTTTCTAAACTTTTAAAATATCTGCTTTATAATGGCATTAAACTGCCAAGACAATCCAGGCTTGTCAAATTACCTGATACTAGGCCTTGAAATTACCCTGAGAAATACCCAGGTAAGCACTTAAAAAGTTTCTCTTTAGAAAGCCAAGTGTGCACCAAGTACAAAGTTCTTAAACTACAGCCTAGGCTCTATATACCAAATGCCTAGCATATACTATGCAGTTATGAATATCATTTATAATACGTATTTATAAGTATATGTAATTATAAATAGTATTCACCTTAGTGTATATATAACCAAAACACTAAAGGTGTAAGGAAACAAAAATTTTAAGAATCATTACCTGAAAAAGTAAGCATAACGAACCTGGGTGGGGTGAACACAATTATTAGAAAGCTCCACCCTGCCCTATTTTAATTAAGCAAGTTTGCTCCTACTGAACCACCAAAGTACCAATATAATATAAAGGTTATAGACTACGGCTTTCAGAACTCTTTCCTTTGCCCCAAGAGCAATATTCAAAAAAGGTTATTAATAACACCATGAAGGTGAGGGTTATTATACCAGACAGGCCAGTTACGACTCTCACTCTAAATACTCTTACTGTTCCTCCCACCCTCAGAATTTGATGTTTGCCATCAAGCTTACAAAGATAGTCTATTTAAATCATTCCAAATTAGACAGAAGAAAAAGCCATACACGGGAAAAACACTTCCAAACACACAGGAATACAAGCACTATGCAGAGCATGCTTGATAATTATAGCAGGAACAGTAAATGCAGCTTTCTTACATGGAAGTCTCAGCTATTATGAATAATTTCCTGACCCAATTGAATTACTCTATAAACGGTAATATCAGTTATAAGAATTGGTAAGATAAAAATATATTTACATAGGAAAGAAAATTTTTTAAATCACTCACATTCTCGTTAAATTTACTTGGTCTGTTACACACACACACACACACACACACACAGTATGTGTGTGTACACTAAGCATAATCCCTGAACACTGAAAATCATTCAGTACAACACAGGAGCTTATGAACACAAGAGTTTAACTTAGACTGATTATTTTTCTGTAAATACAGAGAACCTGGAGCAAAGTAACAGACATTATGAAGCTGATCCTATTCTTCCCAGGCAGCTTTTTCAAGACCTGCTGCCCACTGCTGGACAGAACGCTGGTGCCCCGAGCACATTAAGAATCTACCCAATGTTCAGCAAATAGATGGCACTGCAAACAGTCCTCACCTGTGTGAGTGCAGAACACTCCACATACTTGACAGCTTTCAGGTCACGGGCCAGCTTTTCGGCGGTCTCTGGGGTGATAGGCTTCTGTTTGTTCTTGGCAAGTTTCTCAATAGTAGAGGGGTCATCTCTGAGATCAATTTGGGTTCCAACAAGCAAGAAAGGAGTCTTTGGACAGTGGTGTGTTATCTCAGGTACCCACTAAAGAAAAGGTATTTTAAAAATTTAATCTACAATCCTAAAAATCAATTTATAACAGGTCAACAGAAGTGCTGGAACAACCTTTTTCAGGGAAAGAATATTTGACCAACTCACCTTTTCCTTCACATTTTCAAATGAGGATGGAGAGACCACTGAAAAACAGACTAGAAAAACATCTGTTTGTGGATAACTCAGCGGCCGTAATCTGTCATAATCCTCTTGCCCTGGTGAGGGAAAACGGAGAGAAGTCAGTAGTAAGTCTTTGTGCCCTTGCAGTATTAAGGTCAGAAGTCAGCAAACTAAGCTTAACAGAACACTGATCACTATCCAGACAAAAACAATATCTAATAGGAGATACAGTTTTGTAATATAAAATCTAGGCAATAGTCTTACTAAGTTAATTCAATTTCATATATCAAGCACTTAGAGTAACAATGATTTGGGGTGGGGTTTTTTTGTTTTGCTTTGTTTTCAGTCATTTGCTTTTAAGTGAAACCAGTGGCAGCCAACACTTGATGGAACTGCCTTTGGTTTTCCAAGTTTCCTAGGTTTCCTGTCTTCAGCAGAGGGCATGCTTAGCTACTTTCCTACTACTCTGTTAGTGGAAAATATGTATGTTTTTCTTTGCTGACAGGGTTCTGCCTTCCATATAGGTTCCAGCTCTCAAGTTTTATTGTATTACCAAATTTTACTCTTCAATTTTGCTGTCAAGTTTAAGCTCAGCAATAATGTAATAAGAATACACTGTTGCTGAAGATATTATTTTAAACAATGGGAGTAAACACCGTGAACATATAAATTTGACAAAGGTCTAATTACCTAGGCTGTAAATATACCCATGGAAGTAGAACACACAGAAGCAAGAGTTAGGGAAATCTGAGACATAAGCAAACATCTTGAGGGACAGCGAGTACTAGGAGTTCATTAGTACAGTGTGGAGGGACACCAGGTCAAAAGGCATAATGCACTTGTACATCTTACTCTGGCAAGTAGCAAGGAGGGTCTTAAAAACTGGTGAGCAGCCTCTAAGGTGCGGCTATTGGTCTCTGTCTAGAGGAGAATGGAAACAATGAGTTCAATGAACTAATGGTGCGCACCAACTTCTATGTCAGCAACCCTGAGCCGAGAAGAGCTGCTCAGAGACTGGTACAACCCTGAGCCTGGCACTCAGTCACCTTTCACACTGGCTCAATTTTCAACCACTAATAAACATGTCTACAAGACGAACACGGACACGAGGAAGGTGCACACACCTTACAACAGTGGTCCTCAACCTGTGGGTCACAACCCCTTGGGGGGGCCGAACGTTCCTTTCACAGGGGTCACCCGATTCACAACAGTAGCAAAATGACAGTTATGAAGTAACAACGAAAATATTTTTAAGCTTGGGGGTCACCACAACATGAAGAACTGTCTTAAAGGGTTGCAGCATTAGGAAGGTTGAGAACCACTGCCTTAGAATAATAGGTCATTTAAGATGAAAAGTGCAACATTACCTATTAGCCAAGGACAAAGTTCAAAGGGTTAGGGGAAAAAGGAAAGGGAACAGGAAATAGGCAAGAAGTGGAATGTGCTGTTATATTATGGGGATTGCAATTAATGACAAAATGTGTATAATTTATTAAATGGAAGCCTGATCTGCTTGTAAACCTTCACCCAATTCAGGATAAAGTTTTATTAAAATGTAATGCTAAGAATTGTATGAGCCCCCAATAAAATGATTTTTTAATGTGTTTTTTTAAAAAAAATCAATCCTACTCAAATTAACAAAGGCAGTGAAACCATCCACAGAAACAAAAGCTCAGGGATATCCAGCCGACAAAATCCATGAAAACATGACGACCAAAGCTGGTTCAATTACTTCGTTTTGTGCACATGAAACAGCTATCTGAAATTAAGAGCACCTAGAAAAAAACAAGTATGGCCAAGAACTAGATCAAAACCAGCTGTTAATTGACTCACAGCAACTCTACAGGACAAAGTCAAACTGCTCTCTTAAGATTTCACATTCATAAATCTTTAAGGGAAAAGACAACCTCATCTTTCTCCCATGGAGCAGAGCGTCTGGTGGGTTCAAATTGCAGACTTCACGATTTGCAGCCCAAATCGTAAAACACACACAATGCCCACCAGGGCTCCTAAAACGCTAATTCACTGCTACTGAGTTGATGCCAACTCACAGGGTGGGAAAGAACTATCCCTGTGAAGTTCCAAGACTGGTAACACTTTGCGGGAGCAGAAAGCCTCATCTTTCTCCCAGCAGTTTCAAACTGCTGACCTTGCAGATCACAGCCAACTTGCAAACACCAGGGTTCCTAGTGGATGCTAAATATAAGTAAAGGATGAGCAGAATATTTGTATGGTCTCAAGAGTGTTTCCCTATAAAATGTTTGTAAGCTACCTGGAGAAAATTTTAACGGCACTATGCAGAAACTGGACAATATCTTGTCTCGTGACTAACTAAAATCACCATCAGCAATAAGTGGTAAAGACGATTTGGGCTGCTAACCAACTCGCCTTTCCACAAGTGAAAGATGAAGCTTTCTATTCCCATAAAGATGTACAGCCTCAGAAACCCAAAGGAGCAGTTCTGCTCTGCCTTACAGGATTGCTGTGAGTCAGAACCGACGCCAGAGCAGTGAGTTGGAACTGACGCCAGAGCAGCAAGTGTACTTCCTAAGACCTATCATGAATATAACTTTCCTTTGCCACAACAACAAAATAACCTGAATCTAATTATAAAGAAATACCAACAAAATTTAAAATGAGGAAAATTCTATAAAGAGGATGCAAAGACCCTGTTTTCTATAAAAATGTAATGGAAAGCTAAAGAACTAATCCAGATTAAAGTGATTTAACAACTACATGCAATTTATGATCTTGAAGGTTCAAAAAAATGGTATTTTATTAGATTAACTGACAAACATGGATTGTGGCTATGTTAGATCTTAATGCTGATAACTGTATTGTTTATGTAATTAAAAAAAACACTGCTGTTAGGAAATGTATACATAGCAACCCTATGTACAACAGAACAAACACCCAACCAGTCCTGCACCATCCTCACAATTGTTCCTACGCTTGTGCCCATTGTTACAGAAAGTGTATCAATTCACCTTGCTGATTGATGCTCTTTCTCTATTTTACAGCTAACTCTACTTTACCAAGCATGATGAAGTCCTTCTACAGGGACTGGTCTCTCCTGACAATATAACCAAACTATGTAAGTCTTGACATCCTTGCCTCTACGGAGCACTCTGGCCATTCTTCATCTAAGACAGATCTGCTTGTGCTTTTAGCAGTTCATGGTACTTTCAATATTCTTCTCCAGCACCACAATTAAAATACATAGATCCTTCTTCAGTCTTCCTTATTCAATGTCCAAATTTCACATACATATGAGACAACTGAAAATAGCATGCCTTGGGTCAGGGGCACTTTAATCCTCAAAATAACATCCTTACTTTTCAACACTATAAAGGTCTTAATACAACCTAATACAACTCTTTTTTGGATCTCTTGACTGGTGCTTCCTTAGGTACTAATTGTGGATCCACAAAAAAGAAAACCCTTGACAAATTCAACCTTTTCTCCCATTTATCATGTTGTTACCTACTGACTCAATTGTGAGGATTTTGATTTTCTTTACATTAAGCTGTAGTGCATACTGAAGGCTGCAATTCCTTGATCTTCATCAGCAAGTGCTTCAAGTCCTCATCGCTTTCAGCTAGGAAGTTCGTGTCATATGCATATCACAGGTTGTTAATAAGCCTTCCTCTAATCCTGGTGCCACATTTTTCATATAATCCAGCTTCTCTGGTAATTTTCTTGGCATACAAATTGAGTAGGTATGGTGAGGATACAACCCTGACACACTCCTTTCCTGATAATAAACCATGCAATATCCCCTTGTTCTGTTCACAGAACTGCCTCACGTTCCATACATAGGCTCCGCATCAGTAAAATAAAGTATACTGGAATTCTCATTCTTCTCACTATGTGAGACTGTGTGATCCACAGTCGAATGTCTGCATAGTTGATAAAAACGCAAGTAAACAACTTTATGGTAATCTCTGCTTTCAGGCAAGATTCATCGGACATCAGCAATATCCCTCATTCCACATCCTCTTCTGAATCCAGCCTGACATGGCAGCTCACTGTAACTGTACTGGTATGACCTTTGGTGAAGGATCTTTAGCAATATTTTCTTTGCATGTTATCAATGATATTGTTGTATAATTTGAGCATTCTGTTAGCTCACCATTCTTTGGAATCAGTACAATTCTTCTAGTCAATTGGCCAGGTAGCTCTCTTCCAAACTGCCTGGCATTCACAAGACACTTGCCAGTGCTTCATCAGTTTGTTGAAACATTTCTATTGATATTCTGTCAATTCCTGGACCTGTTTTTGGCTAATTCTTTCAGCGCAGTTTGAAATTCTTCCTTCTGTTAAGATTAGTTCTTGCACATATGCTACGTTCTGAAATGGTTGAATGTTGACTTGTTCTTTTTGGTACCATGATTCTTTTCATTTTCTTTTGATGCTTTCTATATCATTCAACATTTTGTCCATATAATCTTTCAATGTTGCAACTCAAGGCTTTACTTTCTTCTTGAGTTCTAGCAGTTTAAGATCAGTGGATTGTGTTCTTCCTTTTTCAGTTTTCTAACTCTAGGTCTTCGCATTAGACCTATTTCTCGAGCTGCCCTTTGAAATTTTCTATTCAGCTCTTTGATGTCATCATTTCTTCCATTTGTCTTAGCTATTCTAGGACTAAGAGCAGGTTTCAGAGTCTCTTCTAACATCCACTTTGATATTCTTTCTTTCTTGCCCCACGCCCACCCCCCATCTTTTTAATGACCGTTTGCTTTCTTCCTGCACGATGTTCTTGGTGTCACCCACAGCTCATCAATCCCACAGCTCATCAATCCCACAGCTCATCAATCCCACAGCTCATCAGGTCTTCCTTTATTAGTGTTCAAGGCATCACATTTGTTCTTAGATATTCTTACAATTCAGATGAGATACACTCAAGGTCATATTTAGGATCTCCAGGACTTGTTTTAATTTTCTTCAACTTCGACCTGAATTTACATTATGAGCAGTTGATCTGTTGCCTGGTCACCTTGGCCTAATGTCAGCTGCTGAGACTGAGCTTCTCCATCGTCTCTTCCAACAGATATAGTCTATTTGATTTTGGTATATTCCATCTAGAGAAGGTCTT